TTTTCCCAATAACCTAAAAAAGTCTTCGTTCAACCTTCCAAACCAACTAACAAATTTCAAGTGTACTCCCTCCATCCAAAAAAAACATAGCTTTGAATATGGCCAAGCCCTAGTCCAGGTTCAAAGTTAGAACCATATCCTTTTCAAGACGGAGGAAGCATTTTAATTGTTAGATACTCATGTTTTGACTTTTCTAGATACACAATTTTTGTTATGTACTTAGATATACACTATGTCTACATACATAGTAAAAGTAATTTATCTAGAAATATAAAAACGTCTTATAATTTGGGATAAAGGGAGTAGGAATCTAGCTCTAAATTACGACTTGCTCACCTGAGTTTATGTCTCTAACTTAACATGGACTAGCACCCACATTTATGACGGGTATTCTTTTAGTGATAGACAACATGCTCACCACTAGGGCGTTAGGATGTGAGTACGTGAGTCTGTAGATGTATATACGAGGTGTCTATTGTGTGTTTCTAGAAGGGAAAAAACATGGGTTTGCAAATTTGGAGGAGAGGTACCGTGGTGGTTGATTGACATGGACCATTTAGCCATAGTAGTTATTAAAATATACGAATCCTCATTTAGTAATTTCCTAATCATGCCCACACCAGATTATATTTCCGAGACGTACTAGACCAAATTTGACTGTCAATACAATTTACTCGATGCTTACCAAGCAGTAACTAATCGACATTTAGTTTGGTCTATAATGAGTTTATCCATGAAATCAGAGGAATATGCTTTCGATACTAATCATGTGTTTGTGTCAATCTATTCTATTTTCGAAATTAAGCCAAACAAAGATGCAAGAAAGTGAATAGACGATAGACCACCAGCTATCTATACAGATATATATTTTTTCGTTAAGGCTCCGTTTGATAGAGCTCATCTGAACAGCTTCGGCTTTAACTCCCTTCATGCACGGTAGTGATGAGTCTTTTTTTTTCCTCGAATACGCAAAAGTTTTGCACATCATTGTAATTAAGAAGAACAGTTAAACCATACAAACAACGCGCTTCTGATGAGCGCCTTATTAAGAGGTCTTACAGCCGTAGGCTAGACCGTCCTAGTATACAATTTCAAACTTCGATATTACATAAAAGGTCTACAACTGAGCTAAGAGCAGTGCTTCAACCTCTCTGGTTTGGGCTCCTCCGCTGCTGCTCTGCGATTCAACTCCAGCGTCCGAGAAGAGCGTCCGAGAAGAGCACGTTGTTTTTTCTACCAGCCCTGTTGTTGGCGCTAGAAATAGCACGTCGAAGGCCGCAACTTATCTCGACGTCAAGTTCCCTACGAATATGGCATCGTATGCTCCCTTAGGCGCTGATGAAACTGGTGCTATCGGCGGCACAATGCCCATCTTCTTCGTGAGTAGCACCTCGCCCCGCTCGCCGGTTCTGACCGCTCGGCACACACTGTAATAAAGAGTTGTAGCTGTTTTAAGTCGTGCCAAACATGGTCTGAATTCCTCATGAGCATTCACAGATTAGTGATCTCATCACGGTTCTTAGTTTGTGTGAGGGTGCATGCATTTATGCAAGTACTTCGTGTACATTTCCAGGTTACTGAGACACATGGAGTACGATAAAATAATATACGTATAATATATACGTACTCCAGTATATATAGGTATAGATAGATAGATACTCGCACTGCATTGGTCGCATCAGAATCTCTACAGTAAAACGTGTAGCAGATGTGATGGCCACGTTTGCACGTACGTATACCTAGCTACTAGCGCGGAGAAGCAGAACCACTCGTGCAGAGCGATCGATCGACGATGCAGGCGTCGCAGGTAGCCCCTTTCAGCCTCCTCTGAATTCACACATACACACACACACACATGCTCCTAGTGGACGCGTCAGGTACACGTCACGTCCGCCCGGCTCTGCAGCCGCTGCAGCATAACATTTTTCTCCTCTGGGTGCTAGTAGGAGTAGCTGCTGCGGCTGCGAGAGAGAATCGGGCCACGTTTAGTTCATCCAGAATGCAAACTTTGACACTATGCAAAAAAAAGATTCTCCGTCACATCAAACTTGTGGTACATGTATGGAGTACTAAATGTTGACGAAATCAAAAACTAATTGCACAGTTTGGTTGTACTTTGCGAGACGAACATTTTGAGCCTAATTAATCAACGATTGAACAATTATTACCAAATACAAACGAAATGCTACAGCGTGCTACAGTACCCGCAGATTTCAGGCGGCGCCAACTTTGGCAGCAACTAAACGCGGCCTCGGTCGAAACGGCCCCAGTGCGTGTGCGTGTCCTGCGCGCCGCACGCCGGGAAAAACATCCGTACGTGCCGCCGTACGCAGGTACGATAGATACGACGGTGGCCGGCCGGGACGGTGGTACGTACGAATGTCGAATGGGGCGTCGACGTGTCGTGTGCGGGCCGGCAGGGAGGAGCACATATATCTTGGGCTAGGAGACAAAGGAGCTTGGCAGGGCCAAGGACCAACTAGCACACACGCCCGGCCACGTCCCCCAACTTTGGTGTCATGTCCCCGTACGTGCGTGCAATCGATCGCCGAGCTAGTCGCCTTGCCCTGGCGAGGGGGTGATAGCGATGCAGAGATCAGCTACTGTTCCATTCCGTACAGCCACCTGCTCCTATATATGCTTCATACGTAAAAAAAACAAAAAAAAATACAATTCACACATTTTCGCTCTATATCTAGACATAATATATTATAAGTCATTCTAACTGATCTAGATACATAGGTCTTACTGTATATCTAGACATAATATATAGAGTAAAAATACATGGTTAGTCTATCGATTTATCGGCCTGTCTCGGTTAGGCCTATCAACATTGAATTTGCATTTCTACATCCAAAACCTATTTAAGTGGTCCACGAATAGTCCATATTGGTTCATTTTGTGATCAAATCCGACATGGACCGTACAACGTGGCTGATGACCTGTATAGGAGGTCACGGGCGATGCTTGTGAGCTTGCGGCTCCACATGGTTTTTGCAAACCCGCCCCAACTCTATATAAGGACTCGGCACCTAGCCTTTTAGCCAAAAAACCGAAAACCAAGCCGAACCGAGCTGAAATCTCGTTTTTTTTTTGTTTTTGGTTTTGGCTTCGGCTTTAATGCCTGAGATGATTGGCTTTCAGCTTTGGGTTCGGTTTTAGAAATACCCAATCGAGCTAAGGAACCGATCAACTTTGCGTGCCCTCCAAACCCCTGGCCACCAAACACGCGACCACACACAGACTCCACAAAGTACCCGGCCAACCATCCCCTCGAGCCTCAGCCCCATCTTTCCTCCCACTTTGTTTCTCAGTTCCTCTTCCTCAATCCTTAGACCTTGATCTAGATGGCGGCAATGGTTGCAGGGCTGCAGGACACGGCCCACGTGAGGCTTCTTGGCGACCGGGGTAGGGTAATGGGGTGGCTACTCGGCAAAGAACGACGGTGCACCCGCACGCGGGCAACCACACTACTCTCATCGAGCCTTGGCGGCGGCCCGACCAAGACGCCGCCATGCGGTGGTAGTATGGTTCCTCGAGCCTCGATGGCGGTCGGCGGGCGCCGCGCCCATGCAGATGGTGGGCTAGTGGCGCTTCTTGGTGCGGTCTTGCGCCAAGAGTCACAGATGACTCCTCTCGAGTCTTGAGGGCATGCTGTGGGCGACTCCTTCCTATGCAAGATCTAGACTGTGAGTGCTCATTGCTTCTCCAGTTCTCCCTCTCCCATCTCGGTGTTACATTAGTCGGCTTGTTCGATTCAACTGAAAACCGAACCGAAAAACAGAGACACCAAACTCGACGGTTTCTTCTTTTGTGAGAAACTGATCGGGTGTTAGATTATAAAACCAAAGTTTCTAGAAACTGAAGAAACCGAACCAATTATCGGCTAAAATCAATTGTCCACTTAAATAGGTTTTGGACCTAGAAATGCAAATTCAAAGTTGGTGGACCTAACGGACACATGCTTCTGACAAGTTGATGGACTAACCATGCATTTTGCTCTAATATATATTTAGGTGCGTAGCAAAATAACTATGTACCTAGAAAGATAGAACGACTTCTAAAAGGAGTAGTTTGTTAAAAAAACTTATTATACAAGAATAATCTATGGTTCCATAACCTCGTCCAGTTGAATTAGGATATGCTTACTATGTCTGCTCACAAACAATGCAAGCACTAGAGACATCAGAATTTTATCAAAATAAAGTAAAATAGCAGAGAGCTCTACATTTTAATTAAGATGAGAAAGAAAGTTTTAAGACCACACAAAAAAATACAATCCATCCACATACCTAGACACCACGGCTGAAACTCAGCCAAAGCAAGCAACAAGGGAAAGATGCAGAGGCATATCGATAGTCACACTGGGTGCAGCCACATCCATAGAAAAAAAAACAATGATAAGAGCTATCTTTTCACCATATTTGCACCTACATATCATAAAGCCATGCACCTTTCTCGGATTTGCTTTAGCTCTGTCTCTAGAGACGTGAGCTAAATGCATAATCTAAACGTCCTTCTCTTTCACCTGCAATGTCACTTGTTATGTTGACTACGCGATTGGCTTTCAAAGGCCCTATGGTTGCGTTCCTTCCAAATATTTCAAAAGATAAAGATCACATAGTGACATTGGATAAATCTGAAATGAATCGTGATACCATATTTATATTTACTTCCTCCGTCCCAAAATAAATACAGTTTTAACATTCAAATTTGTCTCATAATAAGTGCACTTTTAGGATATAGACCACCTGGCACTACTTTTTTTTTTGCTACTTTCACCATTTCCAAGGTGCAATAATTACATGTTTATGTTACTTTTGATAGAGGTATATTTGTAATTTTGTTGGGATATTGGTTTTCTCCCTTCATCTTAGAAGTGCATTTATTGTGTTATTTTGGGACGGGAGTTTGCACGCTTCAAAGTTCAGACCGCCAAGCACGCACACAGAACCTCGACGGTACAACCGCTAGAGATGACGAAGCAGCAGGACGCAGTGCTAATGTGCTAGTGCTGCTCCTGAGACGTGCAGGCCCAGGAGGCCTTCCTCGAGGCCACTCGCGTTCGCGTAGCCACTCCCGCTTGCTCCCGATGCGACTTTCATGGGAACAGGTCCGTTCCCATTCTCAAAACCAGCAGGGCTCTGCAGCACGCCGGCGTCCAGTAACCCTGACGATGCAGCTATCAGCCCTGAAATCGACAGATATTCGTCATCACGTTGCAATCCATATATTCTTGTGAATCGGGCATGAGAGCTACAACTTATTGATAAAGAAGACAACCCAACGACGACTAGGACTACTCTGTGACCTCTGTCAACAACACACTCGCAACAAGAGCACACAGCAGAAGAACACCAGCAAAAACAAAAACGAAGATTGGTTCATCGTTTACCCTTGAATAATGGAGAAGGTTTGCCTGGCCTGGACCTGAACTCCGGATGGAACTGGACGCCCACAAAATACGGGTGCCAAGGCAGCTCCAGTTTCTGCAGAAAATTCAGTGCCCAGCATGCAGTGAGATCTCCGTGCTGAACATCCCACAACCATTCCGCAAGAAAGATTGTGCGTCGCTGCATGATGCTTCGTTACCTCCATTCTGTCTCCGGTTTCATCCGTGCCCACGAACTCGACACCCGCGCTCTCGAGCTCGCCCACCATGTCAGGGTTGTTGGCCCACAATTAGCCTCTCGACCACCGAGATGATCTCCAGACCACTACAGATAGCCTCCAGACCACCGACCACAGCGTCCGACCACTACCTGATAGCCTCCAGACCACCGAGATAGCCTCCAGACCACTTCGTTGGTCTCACAGGATCACCGGCTCACGACAGTGAACCACTCCGGCCGATCTTGCCGACCACCGGCCAGGCGAGTGGAGCACTTGTCGGTGTTGCCGAGCACGCGCTAGTGTTGCCGAGCACCCACTAGCCGTGCAGACCACGTACCGGCGTTGTCCGTACCCACACACTACGGATCGAGCTAGAAGAGGAAGGGATAACAGAGCAAGCACGCACAATACAAGGCAACAGCGTTGGCCGAAGCCCTATCTGTGTGATGGCAAATCTGAGCTCTCTTTACTGAGTTGCCATACATGTCTATTTATACAACTCTAATTATCTAGTCCATGTGCGGCGCCCATGCTGTCACAGTAACTAGATAACTGGCAGTGAGGTGACTCTGCTACCGCCTTTGCTGTTCCTCTGAGTCTTTGCGGGTGAGCCGTCTGGCGTCTGCACTGCGGCTGCTCTTCATATCACAAATAGAGGGCAAAGTCGGCGCCGCCTTCCCTTCTCGTGTTCACACACGCAGTGACTAAGTCGGCGCCGCCATCCTCTCTTGTGTTCTCTCACAAGGTGGCGATGAGATTAGCTAACAATCTTCCCTAATCCTACTGCTAACCCTTGTAACCCCTCCATGCTGATCATCTCTTTCAGCTCCGTGAGTCGAAGTCTTCCGAGCGGCTTGGTGAGGACGTCCGCGAGTTGCCGACCAGTTTCGACAAACTCGATGACGATCGCCCTCCATCAACACGGTCCACGAGGAAGTGGAACTTCACGTCGATGTGTTTACTCGGTCGTCAGTGCGAGCCCGGATTCTTCGCGAGGCGATGGCGGGCTGGTTGTCCACCATCGGTCTTTGGTGGGTGAGCTTCCACGCCGGTTAGCTCACCCGGCCGAGCCGGCGTAGCCACACAACAACGCACGCCGTTGTGGCCGCCACGCGTACTACCTCGCCGCACGTAGATAGCGCCACCACTTTACATTTCAATGACGATACCATGAAATTGGGGCCGACCGAGGAAGACGAGTATGCGGAGGTGCTCTGTCGTCCGTCGATGTCCCCCGCCATGTCGCATCGGCTGAACACCGTGAGTCGCAGCCTACTTCCCCGATCTTTGGGAAGATGATTCCATGATTCACCGTCCCCTTGACGTAGCGTAGTAGCCGCTTTACGCAGCCCGATGATCCTCTCTGGGATCCTCCTCCATGAAGCGGCCGACGTAGCCCACGGCGAACGCAATGTCCGGCCTTGTGTGGACTAGGTAGCGCGAACCGCCGACGATGCTCGATAGAGTGTTGCATCTACTTTCGCCAGCGGTCTTTGTCGCCGTCGACTTCAACCGCTCCTCCATCGAGTCACGCATGGTTTGCACTCCACCATGCCGCTCCTCTCAAACAGCTTGAGGCATACGCGCTTTGCCCGAAACACGAGTTCCTCCTTCCCTGTCTCACCTCGATGCCGAGGTAGTAGGAGAGAGCGCCGAGATCGCTCATTCAAAACGAGCTGCCATCTCTCGCTTGAAGTCATTGATATCCTCCGTCGCGCGCGCCGGTGACGATTAAGTCATCCACATACACGCCGACCACGAGTTCTTCCTTCCCCGTCGTCGCGTGTAGAGCGCGTGCTCGGTTCGCACCTCTCTGAAACCCAACCTCGCCCGGCGTGGTGTCAAGCTTAGCGTTCCATGCTTGAGGAGCTTGCCTCACCCGTGAGCGCTTTCTTGCGATCGAACACCATGCTCCTCTCCCTTAACAAATGAACCACGGAGGTTGCCTGACGAAGATCTTTCCGCTAGCTCGCCGTTGAGGAAGGCTGATTTAACGTCCATGTGATGGGCGCGCCGATCCTTTCTTGCCGCCGCCAAAGCAAGTAGCAAACGGACCGACTCCATCGCGCTCTCTTCGTGCAAAGACCTCCTCGAAGTCGATGCCCTCGCTACCGGACAATGCCTCGAACAACGAGGCGCGCTTTATATGACAATGGCGCCGAAGCTCGTCCCACTGACTTTGTACACCCACTTCAGGCTGATCGGACGGCATCACGGGGTGGATCGACGAGCTGCCAAGTCTCGTTTTCCTCGATCGCCTTCATCTCCTCCAAAGATTGCTCGTCGCCAGCTTCCATCACGCTTTCGCTAAGCGCGAATGTGGGTGGTTTCTCTGCCAGACCGACGAGTAGCGGCTCTGCGTCGTTGAGCGACCTACCCGCCATACCTGAGGGACCTGTGCCATCGACGATGTCATCCAGCCTGCGGAACCTCAACTCCTCACCTTCGTGGTAGGTGTCCACGAACTCAGTGATGTCACTTGGAGGTGAGGCGAACTCGATCAGGGGTGATGGAGTTCCTTCTTCCGCCTGAGTGCCCTGCATATAGCACCAAGTGCTCAAAGATCGCTTACGATCGCTTCGTCATAACTCCTGCGGTGTTCGGCCACACCGTAGGGAGTGCCCACCTCTCGATCTTGGAGTGGTTGGAACCACAGTAAGACGTCTTGGCTCCGCCACGGGAGTGCTCGGTACCCGTCCTGAAGTGGTCGCCACCATCGCAGAACCTCCTGGCTCCACTCCTGGCGTGCTCGGCATCCCTCCAGAAGTGCTCGACACTCCTCTCGGAGTGCTCGGCATCCCTCCTGAAGTGCTCGGCACTGCCCCAGAAGTGCTCGACTCTACCGCTGGAGTGCTCGGCGCTCCTCCCAGAGTGCGTGGCACCTGTTCTGCAGCGTCTCCACCGCCGTGGATGACCAAGTGCTCGATGACAAAGGTGTTGGTGAAGCCTCCTGCTTCCCCCGTGCTCGGACTGTGCCAGTCCCAAGCTGCCTCCTCGTTGAACACAACATCGCGCGAGACAGTCACCTTGTCTCCGCGTGGGTCATAGAGCCGGTACGCCTTGGTACCCTCCGCGTAGCCCAGGAACACTATGGGTGTGCTCCTATCCTCCAGCTTGGTGAGGTTCGGCTTCGTCTTCCTGACGTGGCCGATGCAACCGAATGTCCGGAGGAATGACACGTTTGGCTTGCTCCCGTACCAAGCTTCGAACGGCGTCTTGCCCGTTAGGGCTTTGGTTGGAGCGCGGTTGAGGATGAACACCGCCATGGTCACCACCTCTCCCCAGAACTTTGTCGGCATCCCTTTGGCCTTCATCATGGACCGGGCCATGCCGACCACTGTCTGGTTCCGTCGCTCTACCACGCCATTTTGTTGTGGCGAGTACGGCGCGGTGTGATGTTGCCCCACACCTTGATCCGCGCAGTACGTAGCAAACTCCACCGAAGTGAATTCGCCACCCCGATCAGTCCTCAGTACGCGGAGCTTCTTGTCGCTCTCGGCCTCCGTGCGTGTCTTGAACTTCTTGATCGCCATCGCCGCTTCGTCCTTGCTCGTCAGGAGTTGCAGCCACATGTAGCGACTGTAATCGTCCACGAGTAGGAGGAAGTACTGCCGACCACCGCATGTAGCAGGCTGATCGGCCCGCAGAGGTTGCCGTGAACTAGCTCGAGAGCTTCCTTCGCGCGATACTTGGTCGCCTTTGGGAAAGGTAGCCTCCTCTGCTTCCCGGCCAGGCAGCTGTCACATAGCTCGCCTCCGTGTTTGATGTGGGGTAGCCCTCGGACCATCTTCCCCAGCCGACCAAGCACATCGAATATGAGATGTCCGAACCGGGCATGCCACATCCACGGTTCCTCGGAGTGCCTTGCCGCCAGGCAAACCGGCTGCTCTACCTTCAGGTCGAGCAGGTACAACCGGTTCAGGGACCTCTTCACCTTGGCGAGAAGTCGCTGCTCCCGGTCTCTGATCCTCAAAACGCTGTCCTTGATCAGAACCTCGCTACCGCGCTCATCCAGCTGACCAATGCTGATGATGCTGGAACGCAGCTGCGGGATGTAGTATACATCCGTTAGCGCGCGGTGCTCCCCATTCTGGCATCTGAAGATGATGGTGCCGCGTTCTTGGATAGCCACCCTTGAGCCATCACCAAACTTCACCGTACCGGTAACATCGTCGTCGAGCTCGGAGAAGGAGTCCTTGGAGCCCGTCATGTGGTTACTGGCACCAGAGTCTAGATACCACCGCTGCTCCTGGTCGACGCCCACATGCCCAAGATGGACTTGGGCGCGTGGTTCGTCGAGGTTGACAGCCTTCAGGACCTTGCTAGATCCTTCCACCGTCGTCGCCTCTTCCCTCTCCATGGCCTCGACATCGTGAAGTGCACAGAACGTCGCCATAAGGACAGTAGGCTCATCCTCATCATCGGCTTTCGCCAGGTGAGCCTGAGCCTTCTTTTCCTTCTTGCGATTTGGGCACTCCCGTGCCCAATGGCCCATCTTCCCGCAACACCGACATGCGTTGGAGTCAATTTGCTTCTTCACCGAAGAAGCCCTGCCGCGATGTTTGTCGTTGCCACCGCGACTGGAGGAGGCTGCCTTCCCGGAGTTTCGCCGAGCAGCCCACTCCTCTTCCGTCAGCAGGAGTTTCTCGCTGTCCTTCGTTGCTGTCGCCTGCTCCAGGCGCTCGTCCACCGCCCGTAGACGGCCTACCACATATTCGATGGTGAGGGTGGACAAGTCCAGCATCGTCTCTATGGAAAGAGCGATCTGGATGTACTTTGCCGGCACGGAGTGGAGGAACTTGGAGACCGTCTCCTCTTCGTCGATGGTGACGCCATGGCTCTTCAGCTTGCTGATGAGCGTCTGCAGGCGGAGGGAGAAGTCCTCCACCGCTTCACCATCCTTGAACTTGAGGTTTGCGTACTCCTGCTTCAGAAGCTGGGCCGTTGCCTTCTTTGCGCGGTCGAAACCGACGCGCATCGCCGCAATGGCCTCCCACGTCTCCTTAGCAGAGCTCTTCGTCCCCAACGGTTCCCTGTACTCCGCCGGTACAGCAGCGAGGATAGCCTCCATCGCTGACATGTCGTCTTCTTCCACGTCGATGCCCTTGTCAACAGCATTCTAGAGCCGACGGGCTCTGAGCTTGACCTTCATGGTCACCGACCACTCTCCATAGTTAGTGCGAGTCAGCGTCGGCCAAGTGGTGCCGCTGACCTCCCGCACCGTGCGAACAACTACCTCCGGTAGTGGCTGGGCAGCCATGACAGTGCCACTACCATCGCCCAACTCCGAACCGCCTGTCATCGCTATCGATTAAAATGACGACGACGCTTGTACGGCTCTGATACCACTTGTTGGCCCACAGTTAGCCTCCCGACCACCAAGATGATCTCCAGACCAATACAGATAGCCTCTAGACCACCGACCACAGCGTCCGACCACTACCTGATAGCCTCCAGACCACCGAGATAGCCTCTAGACCACTCCGTTGGTCTCACAGGATCACCGGCTCACGACAGTGAACCACTCCGGCCAATCTTGCCGACCACCGGCCAGACGAGTGGAGCACTTGTCGGTCTCGCCGAGCACGCACTAGTGTTGCCGAGCATCCACTAGCCGTGCAGACCACGTACCGGCGTTGTCCGTACCCACACACTACTGGATCGAGCTAGAAGATGAAGGGAGAAACAGAGCAAGCACGCACAATACAAGGCAACAACGGCGTTGGCGGGCGTTAATACGTGTGATGGCAAATCTGAGCTCTCTTTCTTGAGTTGCCATACATGTCTATTTATACAACTCTAACTATCTAGTCCATGTGCAAATACCCCATCTTGTCGCACAATAACTTTGACAGGCTGACTCTGCGGCAGCCCTTTGCTGTTTCTCTGATCTTTGCGGGTGAGCCGTCTTGGCGCCTTTGCACTGCAGCTGACTCTTCAGTATATCCTGGCGAGGGGGCAAAGTCGGCGCAGCCTTCCCTTGCTGTGTTCACACACAGCAGGCAGCTAAGTCGGCGCCGTCTTCCTCTGCTGTGTTCTCACAAGGTGACAGCAGATTAGCCAACAAGGATTCACCTAGAAATCGTCACGTTACAGAATGGGAATTAAAGTTGATTTCTTGGCATGGCATGGATCATGTCATACGTGGGCCATATTATCTCACCTCATACCGACGCCGATGGCGTTCATCCCTGTAATTTACACTACCATAGCTGTTGAGAGAAAAAGCAAACACTCAAAGTAAAATCCTACTTACAGTGTAGACTTTAGAGACTAGATAGGGATGGTCTAATCTGAATTCTGAAGAAAGCATGCATGTTCCATGGTACTTACAGTTTAGCAGATTTACAGTCCATCGTTCTGAAGAAAGTCCTCCTTGATCCTACGCACATCTGCATCTTCGAGCCAGTATACATTCAGAGCATGCAAAAGTCCACAGAAACGCTACCGCTACTGTTACCTCAGGCATTTCTATCAGACAAGTATACACTGTAGCCGTTCTAGAAGGCAGGCGTCGAATGGCTCACCTGCCTCACTGTAGCCACAGCAGGGACAGGCGCAGAAGTCAGTCCTGATGTGTTATCTAGTCACTGTAGCAACATGACGATTGTACTATGACTAGATGGATAGAGTTGTATAAATAGTTTGCCACTGCAACTCAGTAAATAGAGTTTAGATTTGCCATCTCTTATACAGGGCTCCGACCAACGCTGGTGTCTCTGCTGCGTGTGTATGCTCTGTTCTCCCTCTCTTCTTCTACCTCTGACCATAGTGTGTGGTCGGACAGCGTCTGTCGAGCTTGGCCCTGGTCGGCAAGACTGATGAGTGGTCAACTCACCTCAGCCGGTGATCCTATGGGCTAACAAACGTTACCAGCTCGGTATGAAAACTGGCTCAAAGCTTCCATAAATGGCCTTGACTCTATATCTCCTGCACAATTAGGGATAAATTTTCGTTTTCTCAAATGAACAAACACAAGCAGATCATAAAAAAAATCTGTATCTGAATCCCCAAACCTATAGTCCCTGCCAACTCCACTATACAAACTTCAGGCCGCCCTTCTCTCCCATCAACAGGGATCAAGGCGACGCGCTCAATCCATTCTTGAATCGCATCCGTAATGTGGGGTATAACCTTAGGAGGTTTTCAAAATACATGTAATAACTTCCTTCAGCAGTTTTTATGAGAGTTCAGCAATTTTAATTTTTTAATAGGTAGCGCAGTACTGTACTGACAAACCTGTACTGTTTTCCCTAGATAATCACCTCTTCGCTCCTTGTCCAGCACGTGCTGCAAGAATCGGACAAGGACATACCACATCCGAGAAAACGGATAAGAACTTGCCCACGTTGGGGGTTGCAGAGAAAATGACATGTTCAGTACCTGATAGATCTTACCGGCTGTTATGTTGTTGTCTCCGGTTAATTCAACATCAAGGAATCTCTCGTAGTTTCCAAGGTCTATGCCAACCTAAAATAACGTGATTTATTAGCCTGGATGGAAGACAGGAAATCTCGTTGTTATCGATGTTTTGTGGATCAGCATCACTCACAAAACCATTCATCCAAAAATTATATTTCCACCACAGCACCTTGTCCAACTGGTGCAACGACAAAACTACTGAAGTAGTGCACAGGCACAGATTTGTATTGTTCTTACCTCGCTGCCATCGTCCAAAACAAATACCTCTCCGTTTTCAGAAGGAGACATCGTTCTAGAATCAGTATTTAAATATGGATCTGCAACATGAGCTAAGTGAAAATGTCATAATCAACATATACAGAGAAAAGCATGTGAAATAAAAGCACATGCAACCAAGGATAGAAACAAACGTTGAAACTGTGAAATGAAGATGCCTATGGTGCAACCAAATGTCCTTGGTCAAGTAAACCTAAGAGAAAAGGAACTGGCCATGTCTGTCTGTTTGTAAAACTCTCTTCTATCTTTTTTTTGAGGCAACAACTCTCTTCTATCTTAATACAATGATACGAGACACTCTTGCATATTCGAGAAAAAAAGGGAAGTGGAGAAAATAGTTCTAATTCCTTGGAGAACACAGTTCAGAACTAGGAAAATTTAGTTTCCTTCAGAGGTAGACATACATAGCAGAGTAGAAAAAGAGAGAGTAGAACACAATGCATTGTGAACTGAAAACTGCTGTTCAGGATTCATGAAGACATGGAGCTGTGTGAGTGATCTGCCGAATAAGGAAGACATGGAAGAACTTGCCTATCTCGATGAAGGTGACTCGCAAACCGCAGGCCTTGAGGACGGCGCCGATGCTGCTGGCGGCGACACCATTCCCTAGCCCGCTCACGACGCCGCTGGTCACCACCACGTACTTCATCTTCTCCACACCACCCATGCCAGGCCTCACCGAATGATGGCAAGATCAGTTTGTGTGCATATGTGGTATGAAGGAGGAGCTGAATGATCAGCACAAACCTCTTAATAATATAAGAAGTGCAGTGACAGTGATGCCTCTTTTCTACTTAAACCCTCTTCTTCATCGGAAATTCAGAATCCGACAACAACAGCTTGCTAGCATATTCCTCTCTTTGTCAGAACTTTCACATGGCGTTTGGATATAGGTATATAGGAGGTGGGATAGGGATCGGGAAATGAATGAACAACTAAGATTAAATGAGGCGTAAAGAATGGATGGCTAGAATATAATATTATGAGGGTGGGATATCCTATCCTGTCCCTATCCCAATTCCGTGTCCATCCAAACGCCACAAAATCTTCTTCATTCATGCATGTGGACTGTGGGCTGAGCAAGTAGCCGGAGGATGAACACAAAATTTCGGGATTTTAACTTTTTGCCATCCTTACCGATGGCACTACTCCGTTGACATCTTTATACGCCGCTTCTTACATTTGTCATCACAAAACAGTAACCCTCCTACGTTTTTACTATTTTTTCTTTGAGGTGGCATGCAAGCGTGGCGAGAAACACAGGAAGGCCTACAAAGCATGCGAAATGACCTATGTACCCTACGCTTCTATCCCTCAATCGTTGGCGCGTGGGCCCCACATGTCGACCGTCTTCAACCCCCGCCATCACCCGCTCAAGATTGGCGGCGGCGGACGTCTGGCGCCATCCGTCCTCGGCACGACAAATTTCACCGGCACCGCCAGAACCCACGTTAAATCTCCATCAAGAGGGCGGTGTCATCGACGTGGCGGCGGCGCGGCCCCGCCGCCGAAGCCGAGGAGTGCGTGAAGCTCCACAGTCGTCGTCGCTACCGGCGTCGTTGGAGCCGCGTCCGAGCCGAAAGCAGCCGGTTAGCGGCGGAGTAGAAAGGCGGGTAGCATCGTTCAAGCGTCGTCGTTGCCACGGTGGCGTCGTCGGCAACCGCCTAGGTGGTCCGCGGTGGGCACGACGTCGTCGGCGCGCTGCCGTTCAGTCGCGACGCCACCACCGGTCCATCATGGCCCGATCGCGTGATCCCGATCCCGCCGGGCGGTGGTGAGGGCGAGGAGGTCGTCGGCGACGACCTACCTTTCTGGCGACGGCGGTGCACGAGACGCGTGCTATAGCGGCATCATCATCATCGCGTCCGCGGCCACGGACGCGCTCTTGAGCGAAGCGGCTTCATGAACCCGCGCTCGCCAACCACGATCTCGATCTCGATGGTGGAGGTACATGGATGCCGCCACCGGCGGCGGTGGCGGCGGCAATGCTTCGTGCTCTCGCTTGTAGGACCTACCCATGTCTTGCAGATCTGGTCCAATAGCGTCGTCGCCGGAGGAGTACCGTAGCCCACCATGGTGCTTGTCTTTGGTGCGCGCACTGCAGATGTGACCGCACCCTTTAACGCCGTCGTGCCCAAGCTCGTTGTTACTTCCGTGCTCGCGCCCCGCCTCGCCGATGACTCCTGTGGTGGTGCTTCTTCTTGAACACCACCTGCACACCACCCACCTGTCCTCCCCCGCTGGCCAGTCCGACGACGCAAAGGCCGGTGACTGGTCCACCACGACACCGCTTTGATGATGGAGACGGACGTGGCAACTTCTGTGATGCCGGTGGGGTCGCCGTCGAGGACGGAATGGCGCAGACGTGTCTACCGCCGTCTTTGAAAGCGGTGATGGCGGGGTTGAAACAGAAAGTGACATGTGGGGCCCACGCGTCAGCGATTGGAGGGAGAGAAACAGCAGGGGTACATAGGTCATTTCGCATGCTTTGTAGGCCTTTAAAATGGCAAAAACGTAGAAGTGTTACTGTTTACGATGACAAATATGTATGAGCGTGTATAGAGATGGTAAATGGATGAGTGCCCTCCGATGACAAAAAAATAAAAATCCCCAAAATTCCAGCACCACCTGTAATGCGATTCCATTGTACCACGATCCGAGATGGTTGAACTGAACTGAATCTGTGACCGCGCCTCTGCTCTCTGATCTGATTCCGGCGAATTGCCAGACGCAGACCGCTTCGTTTTCTGTAGTCGAGCCGGTTCCACCCGCGTTGACAAGTGGTCTTCAAATCGCGTCAGATCCGATCAGGAGGACGCCATGGCTGCCAATCAGGAGGAGCAGGAGCAGGAGCAGCGCCGCCGCCTTCTCGCCGTCGCGTCCCGCTTCCCACTCCCAAGCGGTACGTGCTGCTTCCCCCACTCTGCCGCGTCACCACCAACGCAACAATCCGCACAGATCGGAGGATGAGATGAGATGGGGTCGGGGGCGCAGGCTGCAGGTTCTCCTATGGCACGGCGGGCTTCCGCGCCGACGGCGCCACCATGGCGCCTGCCGTCTGCCGCGCCGGCATCCTCGCCGCGCTCCGCTCCGTCAAGCTCGCGGGCGCCGCCGTCGGGATCGTCATCACCGCCTCCCACAACCCCTTCGGCGACAACGGCGTCAAGATCGCCGACCCCGACGGCGGCATGATGGCCCAGCACTGGGAGCCCTTCGCCGACGCCCTCACCAACGCCCCCCTGACCCCGACGCCCTCCTCCAGGTAACTGATTAGTCCTCGTCTACTCCTCAAGCTTCGTTCCACTTGTTTCAATTAGGATGCAGGATTTGCGTTCCAAAAAAAAGCAGGATCCGTTGCAGAAACTGAGCTGACCCACACAAATAAGCACTACCACTTGTTTGGAGGAGTGAAAAATAAAAACGATGCTTGGAGGAACATCCAAATCCAAATTACAGCCAGCAAACACTTGAGAATGATTTTTTCGAAAACCAAACACTTGAGAATGATGCAAACCACCGTTTCTTCTCCCCGCAGCTGGTGCTTCAGTTTTGCAGAGACGAGGGCATTCCATTGGGGAGCCAACACACAGCGCAAGTGCTGCTTGGTAGAGATACCAGACCTACAGGAGCTTACCTCCTGGATGCTGCACTGCAGGTATGTGGCGTATGCCATGTCGATCTGTTCCTTCAAAATTCATTCTAATTGGATTGCTCTTCAAACTATAGGGGATAAATGCTATAGTTGGCGCATGCGCAATTGATATGGGAATTTTGACCACCCCTCAACTGCATTGGATGGTCCGGAGCAAAAACAAAGGTGTCAAGGCTTCCGAGTCAGATTATTTTATGCAACTTATCGGATCATTCAGGTTATTTTCTAGTCATTGTCCTGCTGCTTTTAGGCTCTCACGACCTACTAGTGTCTTTAATGATGAGGTTCTAGCTTCAAATTTCATCAGGCGTATGTTGGAATTAGTGCCCAAAGATAAGATTGGGGGTGAGGAGAAACTAATTGTGGATGGAGCAAATGGCATTGGTGGAGTGAAGCTCGAACAAATAAAGGCGGAGCTTTCAGGCCTAGATATTAACGTGAGGAATTCAGGCAAGGAAGGAGAAGGGATACTGAATCACATGTGTGGCGCAGACTTTGTTCAAAAGGAGCGCGTTACTCCACATGGGTTTAGCTCTGAAGATGTTGGTGTCAGGTGAGATGATCGGTCTGTTGCTCATGCTTGATGCTTGCCTATCATTATTTGTTTAGTCAACTTACCATTTTCTTCTAGCATTTTAGGTGTGCAAGTTTGGATGGTGATGCTGATCGACTCGTCTACTTCCGTTTGCCATCAGCTAGTGACAATAGGGTTGATCTTGTTGACGGAGATAAGATACTATCTCTGTTTGCGCTATTTATCAGAGAGCAGCTAGACATCGTTAATAACAATGGTGGTCAAGCAAACAAATCATTGTCTGCAAGGCTGGGAATAGTTCAGACAGCTTATGCAAATGGGGCATCGACGCAATTTCTAAAGAGCCTTGGCCTAGAAGTGGCATTCACTCCTACAGGAGTGAAATATTTGCACAAAAGGGCATTGGACTATGACATTGGTATATATTTTGAGGCAAATGGACATGGGACTGTGGTATTCTCAGAGGACCTCATCTCTCAACTAGAGTCATTAAGCAATGAGCTCGCCTCTCAAGCTCCCACTGGTAAGCTCTTACCATCGGTTCTACTCCTTATTCTCCATGCTAACATTTTGTTTGATGTGGTTGATCTAATGCCCTTCCTAGGTTCAGCACAGCGTCATGCTGTAATGAGATTGTTGGCAACAAGTCAGCTGATCAATCAGGCAGTAGGTGATGCTCTGAGTGGTTTGCTTTTAGTCGAGGCTATTTTACAGTATAAGGGATGGTCATTTCAGAATTGGTGTGAACTATACAGTGATTTGCCCAGTAGACAGCTGAAAGTAAGTTCTTGACTGAACTTCCTCTCTTCAATTTTAAGTCACCTTATGTTCGCTGAAGATGATGGAACCATAATATTGCACTCTTTTTTTTTTCATTCAACCACTCAGTACTCACCTCTCATAACCAAGTGTTCATATAACTTTGTCACTCTTTTCAGGTGAAAGTTAAAGATCGAAGTGTAATTGTTACAACAGATGCAGAGACAAAAGTTAGTCAGCCTTCTGGTTTGCAAGAATTGATAGATAAGGAGACTGGTAAGCGCCAACTTAACTGTATCATCCAGTGTAACACTTCTTCATCACACTATTTCAAATCTAATTTACTTCGTGTTATTAGTGTGATTGATATTCAAATTGTGATGTCACTGCAGCCAACTACACCCACGGGCGATGCTTTGTGCGTCCATCTGGTACAGAAGATGTGGTACGGGTATATGCAGAGGCGTCTACGCAGGTGGAAGCTGACAGTCTCGCAAAATCTGTGGCACACCATGTGGAACGCATCCTTGGATAAACCTTTTGCAGTCTCGTTTTGCGATCTTGACTAGACTACATTTTCTAGGATCTCATGCCTTGTGCATTTTGATTTGTAACTTTTTTTTACAACCTGTGAGTCCAAACTTTTCAATTTTGTGGTTGACATGCACTGAACAGAAATCAATTGGTTCTTGTATCTAGACATGAGAGATTTCAACGACTGTAAAATCATTCCGTTGTAATACTCATTCTTCCTGATTGGCTGCACTCATTAATGGAGTCTGCGCATATGCTGCGGCGGATCAAAATCGTTATTTGGCTAAGGGCAATGTGCACCACTCTCCCCTGCATGACGAGATCGTACTGTACAGTTCCTTATTTGTTGCTAAAAGTTCCCCCATCCCATATTTGTCCTCCATTTGGTCAATTATAAGACAACAACATCTTGGGTCTGGACCAGGCCCACCTAATCATAGACAAAAACATGAATTAGAAAAATTAATGGTAAATTAGGGAGTCTCCCAAGATTGTTAATGGAAGTACATACTAGTAATTAGCAAGATGACGCTAATTACTGACAAAAGCACTGACAAAATGAAGGCCAGCATGACATCCTTTTTTTTTCTGATTCTTTCTATTATAGTATATGCTGTATGCAAGATGATGCATCATAGAACAGCTAAAGAAGTGCGGCCTGTTCCGGGATCTACAAGAAAGGACTGCGAGTCCGCATGTGGGCATGTCTTCCATCTGGAGGGAGAGGAAATGCCAAAGCAACCAGTCTCAGCACGGCCTTGTCTCGACGTTGACATGTCGGCCTCATGGATGCCGGGCCCACGTGTCGGTGCCAAAAGCACAGAGAACAACGAACTAACCGGTCAACAGAACCCAGGTAAAGGAGGAATCCCAGAACCCAGTATATTCTTCTAACGGGAATGCATTTGCAGAAACAGGATTGCAAAAAACATGCGAAAACTCCCATTCACAAAATCTTGGGGAAAAAAATCATAATTTTCTTTGGAGGAAAGGCCATGAAGTCTGAAGGCTCATACTTTTAACTTTCCGTAAGGTTTCCTCTGTAATTTCTGCAGGTTAAAAGTATTTCCTAGGAGTTACAGTACATGGAAATTTTACAGGGTTGAGTCAATCCTCTGTTCCAGATGACCATAAAGAAAAAGATCAGACATAATTCAAACGTAGTTATGCAGTGCTAGGCTAGTATGGAACTGCGTTGAGAAAGCATGTAGAAATACGCAATTCAGGACTGACATAGTGCATCAGTAATAGCGATTGAACTTTCGTATACAGTTTCTATACTATTAGTATGTGAATACAGGCCATTACAAGGTTGGTAACGTATTTGTATACAACTCCATTCTACTCCCATCGTCCCAAAAAAAAAGTCATTTTTTCACGAGTCAATCAATTTCGAATTTTATCAAATATATACAAAAATACCAATATTTATAATACGTAAAAGTTTATCTAAATATATACAAAAATACTAATATTTAATAAATACTGTTAGATTTATCATGGAATAAATTTTTATAATAAATCTATCTAGAGATATAAATGTTGATACTATTTTACAACCCTAATCAAATTTATGATAATCCAAACCTAGAATCAAATTCTTTTTGGAGGCACTACTAGAATTTGGGCCATTGCGAGGTTGGTGCTTCCACGAACCCGATCGTGAAAAACAAAGGAAGCCTATGCTTCCGTATACATGACTGAATTTAGAGATTACAAAATGCAATCTATACCTTTCTTTCCTTAGTTGTCTGGTAAACATGGAAGTAAAATTTACAGTCATTCTTCACTTGAATCAGGAGATGTTTTTGCTCTAAAGAAATTTTCAACAATGATGTACGGACGAGACAGATTAAAAGAATAAATTGAGTAGGTAATCAACAAATGGAGAATGGGGTGGAAAATGCCGGGGAAGAGTTGCTCTTCGCTTTTCAGTTTTCACGCTTGCCCTCATCAAGATGAACTTGACTGATTCTGCTCCGGCTAAGCCTGTGCTCGCTCCAGAAGCTGGAGGCGGAAGGAACCATCAAATCATCGGCTTCATGGCCTAAATCCCATAATGCCTCACTGAATATTCCAGCAGCTGTTGGCTGGGGCAGATCATCTCTTTGACTCTCATACCATTTTTGTAGATTTTGAATGTTGGAATTGTCCTCACATTTTCGGCGCGTGCAACAGCAGGGCTCTCGTTCACATCAACCTGAAGTGAAGACAGAAGGGCATGTTAATGTAGGACAGATAAGGGACGGTGACCGTGGATGGCCATGTGACAGTGTTAGTTACCTTGAGGAAATTAACAGATGGGTATCTCGTACACAGTGTATTCACAAATGGGGAAATCTTACAGCACTGCTGATTTGAAGGCGTCATGAAATGGATAACTGAAACACCTGTTTCATGTAGACCAATAAGATGCATCAAATAAAGAAAAGCTAAGGACTACTATTACAGCAAGAGCACAAGACTGACAGAGAGCAAGTGACCAGATAGTAAAAGACAAAAGAGTAACCAAAAGCCATGTGAACAAAAGCCATGTGAACATTGCTTGCACGTCAGAAAACAGTAACAAGTACTGCCAACCAGCATTAGTACAATGATAGGAAAACAAAAGCCATGTGAACATTGCTTGCACGTCAGAAAACAGTAACAAGTACTGCCAACCGGTGGTACAACCTCATGCCTATCAGAAAAAGTCAAGATCGTCATACTATTGTTCTGTTCAATTATTACTCATCTGCGAGTCAACATCAGCGGATGCATGTGCAAGGAACAAGCAGCAGAGGAAACAGAACATTTGGAAATTCATGTTAACTGAAATAGTTAAATGGGCCTTTCTATTCTTGAATAATGAAGATATGATTATGTTATCTGCGTCAACGAATTCTTAGAGAGAAAAAGGGGACAAAATAGAGGGTGCTTGTGTGGTCAGACATGATTTCACGGATTCAAGGTAAATCTAAAAAAACATGGATAAAATAGAGGGGGTGCTTGTGTGGTCCAGTTGCACTACCTATCATGAATCCATGACTAGCTAAAGGACCTTCGTCTTTTGCATCTGCCAGAGATTAGCCGAAACTCACGGGCTTAGGGATCAGCTCAGTTAGATTCTAGTAACATTTAGCTGGGTGAGCTGTTCAGAAGTTGAGCACCAAATGCAAGGCTAAGCTCTCATTCAAATGCTGTTCTCCATATGGAAGGCTTTTACTGGTACTACTTGATAAGCTGGTATTCTTCTTTGCTATCAGAACTAAAGCAATGGATATGTGTTTTAGGAAAATGTATCTATATACACGTAATGAAAAATGATCTTTCAAGAGCTACTATAGGCAATATAAGATTTCTAAGTAGCTTGCTCGCACTATGAACAAAAAAGAAGACATGAATCAACATTATAAAATAATGAATATGGCTGGTTATAAGACTAACCTGGCAAAGATGTAGCCATCTGGAATTGTTCCTTTCCTATAATCGCTTCAACCTCTCCTCCAAACTTCAAGTTGGATACCTCCTCACCACGAGATGACTTGAGAGCAACTTGGGCGTGGAAATAGGCCTCAGCAACCTCCGTGTCACCTGGAAGTTCTTTTCTGAGAATCTCATAATCCTTCACGGATTCTGCCCATCGCTCCATCTAACCACCAAAAGAGCAATAAATGAAGTTGCTTTTGAGTTTCCAAAACTCTACATCAGGAAAAAGAAACAAAAAAGAAAGGGTAGAAGATCAAAATATGCCACCTTGCCATAGGATGCTGCTCTCCTGAGCAAAGCCTTGGTATAATTGGGATGGATCTTGAGAGCTTCATTACAGTCTTCAATTGACTTCTCCCACTGCTCAAGCTTGAACCTACAAGCTGCCCTATTACAGTACAGGACTTTATTCACAGGGTGTTGTTTGAGCCCTTCACCATAAGCAAGGCAAGCTTCTGAAAATTTTCCAGAATTGAAGAGCTCGTTCCCTAGAGATCGTGCTCTGGCCACAGATTTCACTTTGTTATGCATGGTTACCACTTCAGTGTTCCCTTGATCTATTATTCTAGCCTTATCTATGGAGGAGACAGCATGGTCAAACCTGCAAAATGTTCACAACTGTCAAGTCATATGATATCAAGCTACAGCAAGTAAGGTAACCTACAAGAACCTGATAAGTCAAAATACTTTTGAGTTAAGCTTCTTTGTTCACCCTCAGAGCAAAGCTCAGAGGAACTAAAGTGTTATTTGACTACAGTTTGCTACAGCAGGAAAAACGTATTAAAAAAGAAAGAGTTCCATAGACATAATATAACTTGGTAGCGCAACCTTTTTCCCTTCATTCAGGTGGGAAGAAAAAAAGCATATTGACCAGTAAACTTATTTGTATATATGTAGCAGGATTGCAGGAAACACGGAAAGTTGCTGAATTACCTTCCTAATGCCATGTCAACTTGGGCATGTACATAAAAGAGGTAGGCATTGGCAAGAAACCCACAAAATTTGGTGTCTGAGGAGCATGAAGATGTATAATCCAATTTGGAGGCACTAGAGATTGCAATATCAGCCTCATCAAGTAAATTGAGACGGAGAAGGGCTTCTGCTCTAGCAGCCAAGAGCTGAAAGTGTAAATTAGGTAAGCGCATGCCATTGAACTAAGAGTCAGCTAGCCAATATCAAGTTAGGTGAAGGGCAGAATCTAACCAGAGCAGAGGAGTCAGCTCCAGCCGCAATAGCAGCATCACTTTCCCTTAGAACACTCTTCCAGTCCCCAGCCTTTCGCGCATCCAGACATCTCCCCAAGTGCTTCTCCACTGTTTGCAATTTGTGCAACTCTAGGAGGTCAGGCTGTGGGGTTGCAAATGACAGGTGCTTCAGAGCATCCTCAATGTGTCCTAGCCTGCAGTTCAATAAGGGTGTAAGATCAGATAAAAAAACTGGTATGAGTGAATAATTCAAGAATCACTTAGTCTATTATATTAGTCCAACTCATGAAAGCAACACAAAGGATCAACCATAATGCACGAAAGAATCAACATCGAACACTATAAAGTCTATACTGAACAAGAAAAAAAAAAGATTAAAGGGACTAGAAAATAGGACTGCAGTGACCGTCTATAACTTTACTATTTATTATTGTTTTGTACCAAACAAACAATTACTAGTTGTCTGGAAAGAAGAAAAGCAACTAATCCCGAACTATGAAGGGAATGGAGACTGGAGAGTGACACAAAAGGGAGTGTTCGATAGTGAAATGAACCCGGTTCCACATGGTGCCTAATAGCACTCTAAAGTATGGTCCTACTAACAAAAACATTGAGCCTATTGTGGAAATAGTCCTCACTCCATGAGCAACATACCCCATGACCGTTTTCGCAAGCTCTGCTAAAAATAGCAAGGTTTAGATTCAAAATCGACATATACATTATGGTGGCAAATCACTCTAGTACTGTATTTTCTTTAGCTGAGGATGAGATCAGCGGAGCAAACAGCAAAGCATGCCCATTGTGTAGAAGAGAAGTTGCCTCAGATCCGAGAAGCAATCTCAGTGCCGGCCAGGCCAAGGCCCAAGCAATCCATTCACCTTATATGCAGGGACGCGAGGCGGTGGTGCGCGCGGCCGTAGGACGGATCAATCCGTAGCGCCTCCTCGCACTCCTCGACGGCCTCGCCGAGACGGCGGAGGCCAATGAGAGCGGCGGCGCGGTTGCCCCGGCACGCGGCATTGTCGGGGCAGAGGGCGAGGGCGCGGTCGTAGAGCCTGAGGGCCTCCTCGAAGCAGCCCTTCCTGTACTGGTCGTTCCCGGCCCTCTTGACCTCCTCGGAGTCGGCGGCCGACATGGCGCGCCTGAGGACCGCGTCGTCGTCTGTGGCGGCACCGGCGCGTGAGCGGACGATGCTGCCGTGGCCGTAGTTGGCGGTGCCGGAGCCGAGCACGTCGTGGCGAGAGGCGCGGGGCGGGGCGGGGCGGCGGGGTGGTGGCGGAGGAGCAGGAGGAAGGGAGCGGCTTGGCGAGGCGGCCGGAGGGGCAGATGTTGCCTGCCGGGAGCGCGTTGGTGAGCGGCGAGGTGGCGGAGCTGGAGCACGCGCTGGCGCCGGATGTGAAGATGGGGGCCGGAGCCGGTGCGTCGGTGGCCCAAGGCGCGTGGCCCGCGCGCGGGGCGCGTCGGAGGGGAGCGGGATCTCGCCCGAGTGGCTCCGGCGCGAGGCGAGGCCGGAGGCGGCGCGAGCGGGGCTCGGGAGACGGAGCCGGAGGAGCCCGAGGAGGAGCTCGGGGTCGGGTGGTGGTGCCCGTGCCCGTGCTTGGAGGGAAGCGGGGAGACGGGCGAGAGCCTCCCCGGCGGCAGCGTGTCCGGCTTGTCGGTGGAGGAGAGGAGCACCGCGGCGGCGAAGGCGTCCGAGAGGGTGTCCGGCATTGGCGCCGGCGGGCGGTGGGACATTCCGCCGAGCACCTGCGTGGGGCGGCGGGGGACCGGCGGATCTCGCTGCGCGGCGGGTGCGGAGTGGGCGGGCGAGCGAGCTAGTGCGGCATGGGAGGTGCTCGCGGTCAGAGGTGGGGATGCCCGGATGGGGATCTCGTGAAGGGGAAGGGAGGAAGCAAGGAATGATGAAGGCTAGCTAGCGAGGAGGCGAGGGAGGTCAGAGGTGAGGTGGGGCGGCCCGCGCCCGAGTCCGCCCGGGCGGGGTAGATTTGCCTTGCGCGAGAGCCTGCTGGCTGGCTGGGCAGGGCAACTCCCCGCGGGCAGGTACTCTGACTGAGAGTGAGAGACCGAGACCGAGGCCGACGGCCGTGGGCGGCGGCGGCAGCAGCAGTAAGCCACCAGTAAACACCAGCAGCAGCACGCGGGCCGCATACCCAGGGGTGTTTAGTCGGTGAGTAAAAAAAAAATTTAGTCACGTCGGAGGTGTCGGAAGAATGTCGAAAGGGGTTTTTAAATACTAATAAAAAAACAAATTACAGAATCCATCAGTAAATTGCGAGCGGAATCTAATGATACTAATTAATCAGTCATTAGCACATGTGGGTTACTGTAGCATTTAAGACTTTTTATTGACTAATTAGGCTTAAAAGATTCGTCTCGTGATTTCCAACAAAACTGTACAATTAGTTTTTTTTTGTCTACATTTAATGCTCTATGCATGTATCGTAAGATTCGACGTAACATTTTAGGTTAAAAATTTTTGAAACTAAACAGGGCCGGTCCCGCTTCTTCCGTTCCCTCGGCTGACGCCGACGCCGACGCCGCGTCCGCGTGGCCTGCTGCCCCAGCCTGCCTGCCTCTTTCGTTCTTTCTTTCCTTCCCCTACGTGCGCCAGTGAGTTGGTCCCGTTCCGGCAGTCTCGGCAGTCGGCACTTCGGCAGCCGGCGCCGGCGTGCTCTGCCCAACGTTTTGGATAGGGGAAACGAGAACGGCTCAGGCGTTGTTGGTCTTTCATGGAGACGACTTGACACGTTTAGCGGCTGATTTTCAGAACAAAAGACCACCTCCATGCGTTTTTGTTTGAAGTAGGTCGGTCTATCTAATATCTATTATAGTTTTCAAAAAAAAAAGCTTTCAAAAAAGTTATCTATTATGGCCTTGTTTGAATTCATTATCTGATAATAGTTATCTGGCTAATAGCTATTATCTGATTTGATTCAACTAATGAGATAGTTGTTATTTAGAGGTCTAACTAACAATTAACTAGTTTATTATCTATACATGTTTACGTCCACATGAGATAATTATTAGTAGATAACTACTATCTATCGGGATCCAAACGCGACCTATATGCTACTAGGTGTCAATCTATCTATCGGATAGGACTAGCTGAAAGGTTTAACCCGGAAACATCTTATAAAATCAATTAAGTCGCCACAAGCATCTCGTTGTTAACAATGGACACATCATCTCCTACTAAAAAATTAGCGCCTTTATATACTGGAATACATCAAGCAAATACGAGCACCTATACAAAGTCATATGCTTGTACCTAGGTAGACTGACTCCACCACAAAGAACGTATATATATACTAACAAACAAATTAATTGGGCCATCTCTAGTCCTTAAAGCATGGCGTTTGAGACGGTCAAAACAAGCTATTTGTCTTCGCAAAAATAAAGATCTATTTGTCATGTCCAAAACTTCATATTAGTAGACCAAAGGTATTCAGTATTGCCTTAGTCTTAAAAAAATAACATTCTGCAATTCAAATTTTGTCTCATAAAAATGTCACTCTAGCATTTGGACACTCAATAGGGGGCCATCAATGGTCATGATCACTTCACATCTTGTCTAGCCGTAGGCATCGCAACCTTTGGAAACTTGAACAACGTCAAATTCGTAGGGGTATCCACGACCACTACACATCTCGCTTAATCTGTCTTGACTCCTAAAAATTCTAAGTCGTTAATTTAACAATCCTATCTTTTTAATTTAACAAGTGAGTCAGTTTAAATAATAACAATAGGATGGTTGCCAAATGCCAACAAACCATTCCTTAAAGGCAAATGCACTTTGACACATAAATGGATGAACTCGAGCTCTTCGCTTAGTTTTCATGGCACCCTCTCACTTTTCATGGCACCCTCTCACTTTTGCCTTTGTTCCTCTTTAAAACTCAACTTTGACCCGTACTACCTAATGCAATCATCAAGCGGAACTGGGGGTAGCAGGGCCATGCCTCCCCCCCCACAAGTGAAAAAAAAATAATACTCTATAAAAATTTCAATTCCAAAGCACAAAAAATTATTAGTTCACCCATTTTTTATGATAATGTTGTGTTTTTCACTATGAATATGAAATACATATGTAAAAACATTGAAAAGCTACTGAGACATACACTTGATTACATATTTATCATATTTATGAGATGTCAATGTATTGTCTGACCCTCCTCTATCAAAAGTTTTGGTTCCGACACTGAATGGAATGCACCTATTTTAGAGGCAAAGATATCTTTTTACTAGGAAACTGCATTTTCCAAACAAATCTATCTATTTCCATCACTTTCAAATATCGAAGCCTAGAATGGTTTAAAAAGTAGAAAGATGTTTATATCAAAACTCAAACATCTGCCAATTACACGTGCCTATAGTTGGTGTAAGGGCAGTCTCAACCCAGAAACTATCTCATAGTTTTTATACTTGTCAAGTCGTGTAGACACTACACATAAAAATCTTATTTTTAATGGTGATTTCTTCAAAATATTTTTTATCAATTATTTGTTCTCTCTCTAATTATCTACTTATCACATATCTTCATATCTTGGTTCCTATAGACATAGTTTCTTGCCTAAGAAATCATTTTCCTCTCTCTCTCTCTCTCTCTCTCTCTCTCTCTCTCTCTCTCTCTTAATTTCAATGGGACATCACTATTTTTTGCTTAAATGGTACCCTAATCAATGAACATAGAAACCATCCTACTTTCTGGGTTTGGACTGCCATGAGTACTGTGCTTTTGTATTCTGCCTACCACACCCTCACTCCTTGTATGTTCACACTTGATGGTCAACATTCTTACTCAAACCGTAGGAGGCTTTTAATGTTGCGCTTCTTTCTAGTTGTGTACATACTCTTCTATTTGTCCTCTCGTTTATAGTTCAAACCTACGTCCTATAAGCAATTAGGCTAGATACGCCAGTTCATTTTACTGTAAGACATCTATCTCCTTCAAAGATAAGTATAAATAAACGGAGCTATAGATACGAATTTTCATTTGTTAGAAGGGGTTAGCGGTATAAGATTCAACCAAAATTAAAAAATTTCAATAAAAATTGTAATAACTTTGGGGGATTTGCCCCCTCCTCCATCTTCGTAAGTGAAGTAGTGTTTGGTTGGAGAATGGGGGAACAGGATGGAGCGGTTCCATTCTTAACAGGAAAGGAAGGCACTTGTGCTCTATATGTCTAGGTAGCTAGGATGTGAGTGTACTGTTTACACAATGGGCCTTGCTAAGGTACTCCCTTTACCTCGTAGGAGGTAAGATCTCAAATAAATCTTAGCCCTTTATGTTTTTTAAAGTGTTTGCAATAACTAAGTCATTATTAATTAACTAAATGTTTAGAAAACGAAAAAAAGAAAAGGCAACAAACTAAACAAATATATACAAGATATCTATTATCCAAGAATAGCTTGTTGTTGCCATAGAACTAATGGAGTGCACCCATATAGCATGTCTTTCTTTGTTGCATGCCGGGTAGTAGCACGCAAAAGGGGTGCCTAGCTTTGTGTGTGCTTGTCCTGGATCAAGAAATTCACATTCAAGTCCCGTTCCTAGCACACAAAATAAATAATTTAAGTACCAACATGTTCAAGTATGTCGTTCCTTACCTTCACATTTCAATTTACATCTATATTTGTCTCATTTCAAGAAAAAAATACAGCTCAAGTTTAGCATCATGGGATAAATTACAACCTCACATAGATCAATGAATTAAAAAAATGTTACATGTTATGTTGGGAACCATCGACAAAGATCAATTAATTAAAAAAATGTTACATGTTATGTTGAGAACCATCCATATGCGTTTGCATGTTTGCATAAATGTTACACGTTATGTTGGGAATCATCGGCAAAGATCAATTAATTAAAAAACATCACATGTTATGTTGAGAACCACCATATGTGTTTGCATGCATGTTAGATCTAATTTATAGATATTTTCCTAAAATTTTGCTTACCTTCCAATTTCTCAAAATAAAAATATCTCCCATTACCTCTTAGGAGGTGATATGTGATTATAGTCATCCATCGAAGGTCAAAGTTAGTTGTTTGGGAGCCACAACAAATTAGCCCAGTGCATAGGGCCACTTGATAGGCTAGAAAACTCAAGATATTATATAAGAGGAATTTTTATG